CCCGCCTCCTTCCGGCCGGGCCCCTGCTCGCATCTTGGCCTGCTGAGGCTGCAGGGCTTGGCCCGGCCTTGGAGAATCCCCCGCCGCCTTCCCGAGCCTTCTAGATGTATCTGCGCCGCCTCCTCTCTCCCTCCCCTTCCTTCCAGCCCTTTATTCCCTCACTGCGGGCAGGCCCGCAGGCCCCGCGCAAACGTGGGGAAAGGTAGGTTGAGGGGGCTGTGTCCGATAATGGGCAGCCACACCCAGTAGGCCAAGCAGCTGCAGGAAAGAGGCTAAAGGAGTTGGAAGAGATTCTGGGAACCCAGAAAAGGAATCAGGGAAGGCTGCCTGGAGGAGGCGACATTTAAGTTTGGACTGGAAGAGCAAGGCGGGTCAGACAATAATTCATGTATTTACCAAGCATTTATTGGGCACTTATTGTGTTCAAGACCCTGGGGTTGGGGCAGGAGGCAAGATAACTGTGTCCTCATGGGTTTTGCAGTAGGGAAAACAGTGGAGGCAACCATCTCACAAACTGCTGGAGCTGAGACCACCAGAGGGGACAATAGAATGTTAGTTCCATCTGATCAATGAGACCAGAGAGGACTGGGATGAAATGACTTGCCCACAGTCACAAGTGGTAGAACTGGGATTCGAACCTGTGCTACATGGAACATGAGCCCCTAACCACAGGAATCTCTGTGGTTTTTCAAAACAAACACGCTGCTGCACACAGGAGCAGCTGCCAGCCTGCCCTGCAGCAGCCATAGCCATGCTGCAGGCCCCACCGGGGGGCAGGTGCTGGCAGAGGGGACAGCCAGCCATTGGTGGGAGACCTTGCCCTGGGGAGAGGCAGCAGCGGAAATTGCTGTGGGATGGTGGAGGCTGTGGTGGCCATGATGTGGTTGCTTCAGGGGCCCTGTGGTTCCAACCGGGGCACTGTGCCTGCCTCCTGTGGCTTCTTCACCCACAGAGAACCCTCACTGGGGCCATGTCCTGCTTCCTGGAGCTGAGATTGAGTCTGGGAGCCCAGGTGGAACCCTTCTCACTCTCCGGGGAACTCCCACTCTTTATCTCCTGGGAGGCTGGGTTAGCATTTCTGCCTTATAGAAGAGGAAACCAGCGTCAGAAAGGCATGATGGCTGGTCCAGGGCCACACAGCAGAAGGGCTGTGTCTGCTCAATGACTGAAGATACGCGGCTCTTTTCTTGATACTCCATTCATTCATTCATTCATTGTAACACGTGCACATATCCTTTGGGTACTGACTATTCCCTTGCACAGCAACCTGAAGCCTTCCAGCTAAGCTTGAGCACCCGAGGACCAGCGACTGTGCCTGGGGGCTTCATCCAGCAGCTGCAGCCTGCTGGCACCTGCCCCAGAAGGCCACCGTAGTGCTAGAGTAGGCTGTAAAGTGCTATCCCACCAGTAGCCTTGATGCATGACTGACCTGGTGAGAGTTAGTGAAAAACAGTTCCGCATCATCACCCAAGGTTCTCCAGCTGTCCATAGTGTTATGTGCTAATTCCCATACCCTTTATTGGCTTCTTCCCTTTCCTGTGTCATTTCCCTGACAACCTAAACGTGATTCTTGGGATCGCATTCAAACCAAAAACCTTGCACTGGAATTTTTGTTCCAGACTGGGCTTCTGAGGGTAGCAAACGAAGACATTCATTTATTCAGTCTTCAAACACGATTGACGTAACCTGAGCCCGCCCCCATGCTGGGCTCTGGGGATGTGGGCAAGATTCATCGGCATTTCCTGGCCTCCAGAGCCCTTTGCTTGGTGGGAGAGGCAGGAACAGCTTCTGATGATTCTAACCCAGTGTGGTTAATGACATTATCACATCATCTCCAGGGAGAGTGACCCCTTCTGCCTGGGAGGTCAAGCGGCTTCTCCAAAGATGTTCCCCTCCCGCTTGGCTTTGAAGGATGAGGAGGCGTTCCCCAGCGGGACCAGGGGGCTAAGGAAATGGCATTATTGGCAAAGAGAACAGTACGTGCAGACCAGGAGCAGGAGCAAGGAGGGGCTGACAGATGGTGGCACTAGGGATGTTGGCAGGGTCAGACCGTGCCAGACTTGAAGGCCAGGGGAGACCCTGGGACTGTGGCATAGTCATGGGAAACCACCACTGAAAGTTTTGGAGCAAGGGCAGGATTTGGTTTTAGGAAACGCACTTTCTCTGAAAAGACCTACAGGTTTAATGTCCTTCCTTCCTCATTGTAACTCCCAGCAAGTCAAGGGAGGCCACTCTGGTGCAGCTGAACTGCAGCATCGCTGTATGTGGCGCTCTTATTAACACTTCATTCACTGGGTCTTCACACCCTTGAGTGAGGCATCCTTTTTAGTAACCTCTTTTTATAAGTGGGGAAACTGATGCACGGTACAGGAACTCAATCAAGGTCCCATAGCTAGGAAGCAGGGACAGGCACGTTGGCTCACGCCTGTAAATCTCAGCACTTTGGGAGGCCGAGGTGAGCGGATCACCTGAAGTCAGGAGTTCAAGACTGGCCTGACTAAGATGGCAAATCTTATCTCTACTAAACATACAAAAATTAGCCAGGCGTGGTGGCACATGGCTGTAATCCAAGCTACTCGGGAGGCTGAGGCAGGAGAATTGCTTGAACCCGGGAGGCAGAGGTTGCAGTGAGCCGAGATCATGCCACTGCATCTAGCCTGGGCAACAGAGCAAGATTCTTAAAAAATCTTTAAAATGTCTTAAAAAAAAAAAAAAAAAGCTGGGCGCGGTGGCTCATGCCTGTAATCCCAGCATTTTGGGAGGCCAACGTGGGTGGATCACGAGGTCAGAAGATTGAGACTATCCTGGCTAACACGGTGAAACCCTGTCTCTACTAAAAATACAAAAAATTAGCTGGGCATGGTGGCGGGTGCCTGTAGTCACAGCTACTCGGGAGGCTGAGGCAGGAGAATGGTATGAACCCAGGAGGTGGAGCTTTCTGTGAACTGAGATCACGTCACTGCAATCTCGGGGGACAGAGTGAGACTCCGTCTCAAAAAAAAAGAAAACACACACAAACAAAAAAACAAGAAGCAGCAGCAGCAGCTGTGTTTCTTTGGCTTTAAGCCCATCCTCTACGTTGCCCCACTGCCATGGTTTTCAGAGGCTGGAGGGCCCCAGGAACCACCTTCTCTCCCCAGCACAGCCCTGGGGATGGGTGGGTGGGCAGAGAAGGGACAAGCAGCCCAAGTCACAGCCAGGGATGGAGACAGCGTGGCTTCTTTCGGAGATATGAAGAAGCAGGAGTGTTATTCTTGGCCAGGATGGGAAAGGGGTTGGAATCTTGGCTCCTATGCTCACTAGCCATGTGGTCTGTGGCAAGCCACATCCTCTCTCTGTGTCTTGACTTACCCATATGGTGGCTCCTCATAACCCCCACCTCATAGGGCTGTTGTGAAGACTGCACGTACTGAAGACTCAAATTCTCAGTACACTGCCAGGCACGTAGGAAGAATGTTGTTTTATAGCCCCCATTTGGGAGTGGGTGGGCAGGAGCACAGACTCTGGGCTCCAATCCCCAAACTGCCATCTACTAGTCCATTTGTGAGCTGGCTGGTAAATTCACCTCCCTGTGCCTCAATTTCTTCATCAGTAAAATGGGATAATAATGGTGCCTTCCTAGTTGGGTTGTCGTGAAGGGTAAATGAGATGCCACGTGAAAGTGCAGAGGAGAAGGGCTACCATAAGGGGTTCCATGTGGGTGCTGCTGTTATTATTGGGTACCTACTGCATGCTATGTGCCTGTATACAGGAGTTGACCTTTGAGGCCTGCTTGTTCATGGCTATTTCACAGATGTCGAAGTGGAGGCTCGGCAGGGTTGGAGGTTACCGGAGTCTCCCAGCTGGTAAGGGCGGTGTCGGGACTGGAACCCCAGCCAGGCTGACTCAGACATCACTGGGGCCTGCGCCTAGCAGGGCAGCTGTGACTCAAGTTTGCAGGAAGAGGAGGAGGAGGGTGGGGTAAATGGGTGCTTGAGGGAAGCCACGACCTCTATTCCCTCAGAAATGGAAGTGCTTGGTGAGGTTTGAGGTGTCTGAGCCGAAGAGCAGCCAGTGACAGGCCTGGGGATCGTCTGACACAGCCCGCTTGACAAGGCCTTGGAAACTTTTGGTCTCTGCAGCAGCAACCGGATTTCAGCCTGGGCTTTGGACACCTCAGCCTGGGTACAGATGTGACTTGGGTACAGTCCTTCCCTGGCAGTGGAGGGGATGCCCAGGCTGGCACAGGAGTGTCGGGTCCTCTCTGACTCTACCCCAATCTGCTGTGTGATGTTGGGCCCAGGCAGGGACCCCTCTGGGCTCTGTTACTGGAGAAAAGACAAGTGGCTGGGACAGGTGGGTCCCCAGCCCTCCTTGCCTGGAGGTCTGCGAGTTGGAGGGCTCTGGGGTAAAGCCAGAGCCAAGCCAGGGGAGAGCCTAGGCCACCTGGGCTCATGTCTGGTGAACAGGGTACCCTCTAGCCAAAGCAGGGGCAAGACAAGGCACATGTCCCTCATATGGGAGCTGGGGCTGACCCCCTCTCCCAGCCCTGCACACCTCAAGCACATGGCCTTGGCCCATCTGCCCTGTGGGTGGACACTTTCCAGCCCTGGGTCCTGGACTCCACCAATCAGCAGGAACCTAGACTCCTGAGGGGTGCAGCCTGGATGGGAGGTCAGGGAACTGGGTTCCTGAGCACATCTCTGGGCCATTCTTCTCTCCATTGGTTTCTCAAATGTGGACTGAGCACACACTGTGAGTCAGGCCTGAGCTAGGTTCTAGGGATGCTACAGTCAAAAAGACAGATGAAGGTTCCTGCCCTCATGGAGGGGAGGGAGACAATAAGCAAATAAATAAATTCGTGATGTAATGTCAGCCAGGGAGCGATGCTGCTAAGCAGGGCGGGGGTGGGGAGTGACGCAGGCTGGTGTTGGGGAGGCACCGTTGTAGTGGTCAGGAAGACTGCTCCGAGAGGCAGACTGAGGGAAGGAGGAGGGACATCTAGATGTCTGAGGGAAGGGCCATTTAGGCAGAGGGAACAGCACAGGGCTCAGTGTGTGTGTGGAGAGGTGAGGTTGGAGGGGGCTCCGTGTGCAAGGGTGCCAGTGGGGAAGGGGGGCAGGCTGTGAGTGGACAGATTTATAGACTTCATTCTAACTGTGACACAAAGGACTTGCAGGGTTTGGGAGGGGGACATGATCTCATTTGGTCTTCCCAATAACCCCCTGCCAGAAAGAGACAGAGCTCCAAATTGCAGTGAGGAAGCTGAGGCTCAGAGGACATCCCAGCACATGTCTAGGGTGTCATATCATCATTGGAGGAGCTGGGACTCAAACCCAACTCTGGAAACTGTTTTGTCCTCAGCTCCATGATAACATTGTGTGAGGTGCCGGGTGCAGCTCCCAACTCCTCCCTGCCCAACCACCACGCTCTGTTAGCCTGTGGTCTACAGAGTGACTTCCACCAGGGATGCCTTGCCTTCTTCTTCTTCTTCTTTTTTTTTTTTGAGACAGGGTGTTTCTCCATTGCCCAGGCTGAAGTGCAGCGGTGCGATGATAACTCACTGCAGCCTCAACCTCCTGGGCTTAACTGGTCCTCCCACCTCAGCCTTTCAAGTAGCTGAGGTTACAGATGCACACGAACACATCTGGCTAATTAAAGAACAATTTTTTTCAGGCCGGG